TATTTAACCATTCTATCATACAACAGTGAGCAAGCTAGGGACTACTCAATAAAACTGGATTTCATCAGAAATCTATAGATATTCTGATACTATTAAACTTCAGATATTGATTTATCTATTTCTCTGAGTTGCCTGTTGCTTTTCCATTATTCCTTGCTGCTAGTCCTTGGGAGTCTTGCACATTTTTTCACAATCAGTTAAGTTTAAGGGTCCATTAACAAACAAGTCAGACTTTTCAAAAGCTGGGGCTATTGGTCATCAAATTGTGAGAGCCACCAAAACTGTGTTTCCTTCTGTTGCTATGTCTAAGTGCTTGTGCACAGAAATGTATACTCCTTAAGGTATGAGATGTTGGAAGGTGCCAAAGAAAAGGATTATAGGAATTAATAAGAAGCTGCTGACAACATAACCATTGGCAGAAAAAAATCACCCTGTCACGTATAAGACATAGGGAGCTGGGATTTTACTTGCCAGATAGAAAGACATATTAAAGATAAGAAATTATTTTATATGCCATTTTATGATCCAGATTCTATTATTTCAAGACTTGCACACTGATAAACAATAGCAGTACAAGAGGACTGGGCATTTTGAATATTACTGCAGGGCTTTTGTGATGACTTTCTTAGTTTCCAGGAATATATGTTATACTTTCATTGTGAGGTAAATCTCAAGTCTTTTCCTAATTTATGGAAAGATAAAAACATCACTGGTTAGAACTAGCAGGCTTTTTCAGAGGGCAACACTATAAATCCACAAAACTGCATTCTTTTCAACCGACAATACTAGATCATTTGAAAAAAATGGCTGCTTCCATCTGGTCAGCATCTGTTAGACTCCATGGTTCACAGGGTGCATAAGACTTTTTTGGTTTAGCTTTTGCTAAGTTTGACCCAATTTAATTTCAAAATAGGTAGATTCACAAATTAGACAGATGAGAGCAAAAGAGGACAATCTTCTTTATACTTAACCTCAGAGAAACCTAAACATCTCTGGTATGAAACACAGATTAATTACTTGGCTCTTCTGCATGCTGATCCCAACTCTCTTTATTTCAGTTTTCAAGAATCCTGTCCTTTGACGAAAACCACTACGGAATAGAAGGCATTTTGTAGCCTTTACTTATTATTAGCTGATTTCATTGGCCAATGACTATCAAAAATACTTTAAAATTATTTTAGTCAAGGAGAGCTTTCTCAACTTGTGAGACAAACAAGAACTGACATGGGAAAACTGGCATGCCCAGGATCCCATACTAGGTGAGGAGCATTCCATATGGCCCAGCTCCATCCTCTGTCCCCTCACACAGGATTTCTGTTCATGGTGGGGTACAACCAAGTGGCTGGTTTAGAAGCCACTGTTACTGACCTTATAGCTGTCTTAACAACCACAACTTAATCACAGCACTAAGCAATGCCAATTCTACTTGTTAGCATCATCTGATTTCCATCATTGTTAAACATCCAACTTAAGTTTTGTCACTGTAAAATTTACTCTTTAATAAAATACAGGTAACAGAAATACATGTGAAATATGTCTGCTGTATTAGCAAAGGTGTCACTGGGTTCTCATCATGGCAAAGTATTAAATCCTTTGTTCATATGAAATGCATTTTTGTACAAAATGCCTCATTATCCTGTTTATTGGGTCACTTCCACCTATTTCATGCCATTGTTACTCTGCTTTCCCTGGGGAATTACTAGTGATTTGAAGCAATATCAGATAAAGATGAGGCCATACCATTCCTCAGAATGATTTTAAGTTTCCTTTATTTTTTGAAAGGATGATTTAACATTAGATGAAGCATTTCTTGAAATCTTTTAATAAAATTGAAGTTCTACTGAAATATCATGTTTAGAGATAATTGCATGCCTTAGAAGTCACAGATTATGTGTATCATGTAAGATATTAAACCTGTCAAGATGTTGTTTTTAATATGTCTTTTAGTTAAGACCATGTCTTGACATGAATTATTCCTAGCATAGTTTCTCACACACTGGTTCAGCAAGCAATCACCCACTACATCCATCATTTCTGTTGCTGTCTCACCATATGTCTCAGAGGGGTGTAGGGGGGAAGTTTCCAGTTAATAATTTTTTTTTGCATTTGGTATGCAAATCACTTAAAATTGAATGATGTGGCAATTTCAAGAAGCATTGTCTTAAGAAGTACTGGAGTTTCAGTACGGAGATGTTTGATAGGTTAGTGGTTGGTTTGGTTTTTTTTTTTCTTGCATCTTAACAAAATTTTACAGCTAGAAAAAATTCTCATTATAACCTCCAGCCTATTTCCTCCTCAGAGATATGCTTGCAAAAAATTGGCTTTATATTATCTTAGCGAAAGGTTTCTGCTCGTAATATTTCAAACCTTCATCTGTCCTTGGCTGCCATGACATTCATCCATCTGACAAAACAGGGGGGGAAAAAATGCCAGCCTCTGAGTGAGTGCTCCTTTAAGTGGATTTGTTAGCCAGGCATGAAGGATGCTGTGCTCACTGACACTGGGTCCTGCGGGCACGGGGCAGAGCAGGGCAGGGAGGCTCGGGCTGCCACCCATCCACAGGGCTTCTGCCCCAACCAGCAATCTGCTTCCATCAGCTGGGAATTAAAACTCACAACGGTGGCACTGGGTACGTTGCTCTTAGCTCTCTGAAGATGTATATAATGAGATAAACAATGGTGTGCTAAGTTTCAGATCCATTTCCTAACCTCACAAAAAAGCTCTGCTTACTGCTGCTCAATATTGGGAATTGTCCAGCTGTAAATGCACGTCAGTAAAGCTCAGAAGACTCAAATCTAGGAAATGAAGCAGAGCTTGAATAAAATCTTCACACAAAATCAGCGAGGCACTGAGACCTGAATTTCTCAGCTGTATAAGCAGTCAGGCTTCAGCTGGACACAGAACAAGACAGAGATGGGGAGAAGGAACACTATTAATTTCTGAGTTTTTTCTGGAAGGGTTGTGCTGTGACTTGTGCATAGACTACCAGGGAATCTCTCAGGCTGCCTGCACTTTCTTTCTCTATAGAAAATAGCAGGGATGCACAGAATCTATTGCCACCAACAACTGGTTTTGAGTTCATACTTTGCAATTAAGACATATTTTAAAAGAAGTTCTTTGTTTTGTGGGATCAGAAATCAACTTGGAGCTTACTTTATGAGACACATACAGCAGCTTATTGAGCATGTTTTCATCTTCGCATTCAGCAGGAAAAGCTTCACCCTTCTGACAAGGGTTCCTCCTATGCAAAGCACTTATGTACAATCCAATTAAATAAAAAGTGAAAAGAAAGATCATAGGATCAGAATTTTTTTATACACTTTCCAGTGATTTTTTTTATATAAGGTCATGCAGAAAGAGCCTGGTGGAGGGGTGGTATGTAGATTTCTTTCTGCCAGGTTGCTGTACAAACTACTAGATGATAGTTATATATCTCTCTTGGTGCCTGATTGGTCTTTTTCACTTGTGAAGGTTTTTCTGCATGGAAAGTGGAACAGCTTCAGTTGGAGAAGCAACAGATACTTTATGCCCCCTCATACCCAACTCCAGCTCCTGTACCAGCATCACAGCTGTTGGGCCTTCCATATGGAGGATAGATGAGACATTTGGGATTGAACCTTTCTGGGCAGGAAGCTGAGATAGAGTCTCTAATAGTCTTCACTCTAACTTTAAATGTAAATTAATTCATTAGTTAATTAATTTTTAAAAACCAACCAAACAAACAAACAAATATAATATCAGGCTCTTGTGGAGTTTAGATTCCTCCATATATAAGTGAAAGCCAAGAAAACTATTTCAAAATTACTGTTCCCAGTATACACACTTTAATTTTGCTGATTTTTGGCACCTAATTTTTTTTTTACAGGAGATCCTTACACTGTGTCCTGGAAAGCAGTGCCATACATTCCTGAACAGAAGAGCTACAAATGCTACATTCCCCACTATTCACAGAGAAGTGGATTTTTCTCAAGCTGCCAGGATACTATCAGTGACCAGATTTCTCAACTGAGAATATTTCTTTTATTCAAAAACATGAAGTCTTGTGATTGAGTGCCTGTGAGAGCCATTTTGTCCAGCACGAAGTAGTTCTTTGGAGCTAAGCTGTGCCACTGCATCCAGCAATTATTGAGGTATTTCCCTTGCACACTGATATTTTGAAGCTAGGCCTGAGTGCTCCTGAGTCACAGTATGGAGCTCCAAACCTCTGCATCTTCACTAAAGCATTACCTTCTCTTTCACAGAAAAAATATTTGGTTCTTGAACAGCCACTCTCCACAGGCACCTGCTTGGGCCCTTCCTCCCACTGTGGTCACTGAGTCACTTATAGTCCTGGTAGGGAATTTTCACCCAAAAACTGTTGACCCAAACCCCTGTGGGCCATGCTGGTGTTTAGGTCTCTAAGTGTTTGCCTTTCAGATATAAGACAGGTAAGTACAGAGCAGCCTGAGGCAGTGGTGTTTTCTCCCATGGCAGCCCATGGCAGATGCAGGAGAAGGCTGTACCACAGAGCCAGAGAACCACAGATTTGTTTAGGCTGGAAAAGGCCTTTAAGACCACCAGGTCCAACCACTAACCTATTACTGCCATGTTCACCACTAAACCACAGTATTATAGAATCACAGAATTGCTGGGCCTCTGAGTTCACCAAGTCCAACAATTAACCCACCACTGCCAAGTCCATCACTTACCCATGTCCCCAAACACCACAAACAGACATTTTTAGAACACCTTTAGAGATGGTGATTCCATTACTGCCCCTGGCAGCCTGTTTCAGTGCTTGACCACCCTTTAAGTGAAGAAATGTCAGAACCTGACACAGCTCAAGGCAATTTCCTCTTGTTCTATTGCTTGTTATATGGGAGAACCCCCACCTGTCTGTAATATTATTTCAGGTATTGGTGGAGAGCAATAAGGTCCCTCCTGAGTTTCCATTTCTCCAGGCTAAACTCCCCAACTTTGTCTTAGATTAGTTGGAAAATTCTTTCTTCCATTAAAAAAAATATGTTTCTTTTTATTTTACTGTTAGAATAGGGCCTGCAGATGTGACCCAAACCTTGATTCACCTCTTTCAAAAGGAACAAAGAACCAGATGTGCGTGGAAAGGTAGAATAGTCTTTGGCCAGGAATCCAGCTGAGGAAGACCTACAGAGGGCTCCATTTCACACTGCTCCCAAGGGGAAAGGACATTTCTTATTTAGCTGAAAAATAATGACCACTCTCTGAAAATCATATATTTTATTTTCTCTGGGTAACTCACAGACATCTTACAATGGCAATAAAGTTTTAATTTAAAGCATCAATGATGCAATCTTTCAAGGGGTAATGGTTGGTTTAGTCTCTGGCAGCTCTTTGGTCCAAATATCTTGGTCTTCACTTTTCATGGGCCATTAATGAAGAGATGAACTGCAGAAGAGAAACTTGATCCATTAAATCCATGCCATTAGTTCTTTTGTCCTCCTTGCCAATTGTATCCAGATCCAGGTAGTGACTGGAATTTTCCACAAACATAGATTACTTGCTCCATTTTCTCTACCCTTTGGATAGTTTTTATTTTGGTCTAAGCATAACTTTTGCCTACAACATCTCTTGCATAGAAAGAAAATTTGCTATGAATACTGATATTTTGTTGAATCATTTTATTCCTCAAAAAACCTATGTCTTTGCATAACTCTTGATCTGGAATGTATTGTTTTGCTGCCTAAAGAGACATTAATCATAAATTCAAGGAAGACAAGGGAACAGAAATAACAAAGATAAAACTGAAACAATAAATGAATAAAACATTGGAAAGATGTAAATAAATTCACCAAATATGCAAGTTAAATCCTAATAATATGAATGATTTTATAGAAATAATGGCTTTCATGCTAAAGCAAAATGTTTCTGATCATGACAGTTGTAGTCTGTTTGATAGCCCAAGATATTCCACTGCCACATCTGAAACAATGAAGAAATTTTACTTTCAAAGTAAAAAAGTATCAGATACCTAAATAAAACAAAGAAAAATAATTTTAAACCACAATTTTTGAGTATTTTTTCTTAAATAAAATAACTAAACCAGATTTTCTTTCATTCTAAAAAATGCTATGAACACATTTAGCATAAACAGATACAATTTTTCTATCTCTTTGCTTGACAAGTTCTTTTCTTTGAAATATGAATGCAGAAAGTTCTTAACCATTTAAGTATCTGAGATCCTAAAAGGCAACAACGTTTTCTTGGTGCCAATTATTCTATGACAGATATTGTGCCATGTATAATATTGTGTGTGTTTCTTATGCTTACTTATCAACTTAGAATTTTGAAGTTAATTAAAAATATTAAGGAAAGATAAATGTTTTCATCCAAATACAATAGGAGACACTAAAAGAGACACACATGATCAAATCAAAGATTCAAAAACGTCTACTATAAGGCAGGGAAGGATTAACAGCACTCATTTTCTCTTCTGGTGCCTCTTCTGTATTTACACATGGGTGAGAGTTTTGGCATCAGGTCCTTAAGTCTGTCAGGTCTGTCACTTAAATCTAAGGGATCTAGCACTGTTACCCAGCATGGAGGAGTTCAGAAAATGCCCACCAGAAAAACTACGCTTCCAAAGTTAAGAAAAAGAAAGAGAAGGGAATCACAAGAGCAGTGAAAATGCCATACAAAGGATTTACCTACTCATTACCTGTGTCACTTGTAGAGGATTTGGATGGATTTTAGATACAGGCAGTCAACTCTTCTGAATATGTATACAATAAGGACTGCACAAACAGGCACAATCTCCATTCAGATAATTCACTTATTTTCTCCATTGTATGGCAGCACCAGAGGCACAGGATGTCTCAGTTTGCTGCACAGCCTGCCTGCTTCCATGCTTCATCCACCACTCTTCCTCTGCATGAAACTGAGCCCACAGTCTTCTTCAGCATATGGATGAGCTTCTTAGGGGCTGTTAACATATCCTCAGTTAAGTCAGGATGCCAACCAAAAAAAAAAAAAAACTTTTTTTTTGAAACTAAAAGGAAAAAAAATCCAGCTTAAATAAATCTTAAATTATGCATTTGTCCTGTCTCTTAAGTGCTAAATTTCATGTGAAGAGCTTCTAGTCTTCATTGCTTTATGTCTTTTCTTTCTTCTGTACAAAGACATGATTAACTCACACTCTTTGTAAGGTGGCACTGACCTGTAAAAAACACAAAAAGAATGTGTTAAACAGAAAGGAGAGAAATGCTAAATAAATGCATACTTATTTTGTTTATCTCTCAGAATATACATACACAAATAAACACCCACACAGCTTTCCATTCTGTTTTACTAAAACAAATCTTCAGACCTCCAGCAACAAACAGCCAGTCACTTATTAGTAAGAATCCAAATAGATATTACGGAGTCTGACTACTTGTGCTTTTGAGATGTAAATATCAAAATTGCCTTTTGAAGAAGTAAAATGCAAAAGCAGTTAAAGTTCAGAATTCAATTTTTTCCTCTTCTTTTGATAAATGCATTTACATTTTAATTTTCAGTGTTTTCAATTTTCATCAGTGAAAAGCTGTATCCCTGGATGAAAAGCACAATAATAAAATGTTCTCCACTCCATAATTTTCTTGTAATTCACTGAAATGATCTGAGGGCATATAGCTCATGACAATATATATTATAGCATTCAGAGCAGAGAACTCAATTGTTAGGGCTGCAATTTCAAACATATGTATATTAATGAACTGGCTGTGCCTTCATTTTAAATTCCTAAAGACTTTTTTGCTGACATAGAATCATCACGACTGTAATCTTAGAAACATGAAAAGATTGTCAGAACTGTGCATGTTATTTCATTTATTCAATCAATACAAGTGTCAATGCCAATTATGCTGCAGAAATCCATACAATAGTCCTATTTTTTAAATCCATATGGCACCATAGATCATGAGAGGATCAGAACAATGTGAATGCCACATCTTACATAATTTGGCAGAGCAGTGTGCCTTTATATATAAGAACATGCTATAAATCTTGTTCTGCTTTTATTGCAATCAGTTCCCTTTCTACCCTCAAAATGATAAAGCAGATTTTGCTAATTTAAAACACAAATCAAAAGTAAAAAAAAAAAAAAAAAAAAAAAAAAAAAAAAAAAAAAAAAAACCTGAAAACATTATTGATCTTCATCTATAGCTCGGGACAGTTTTTAGTCATGCATCTTAACCACTCTGGCCCCTAGAAACTGCAGAAAAAACTTGTAACTTGCTGAACAGACAACAGCACCTACAGATAACAACTACTCACTGTGGAGCCCATTATAAAATGCAAGATTGGTGTGCAGAGATAAAAAACATACAGACTCTATTGTCAAAAAAACCCTGGTACATCAATAATAACATCAGTAGAGAAACCCAAGGATAACGCGAAATACGTCGGAGGTCAGCAGAAGCCTGGAAGATAAAGCTCAGAAGCGAGGCTGGAAAGCAGCACAGAGCAGAGACTGAATTCAGCACAGTGCCAGAGAATAGAGACAGGCTGGAAGCAGTAACTGGGGAGCCTGACATTCCAGCTCTGCATGGACAGCATGCTGCCGCAGGGCAGTGCCCCTCTGCCCATGCCAAGGGAGCCCAGGGAGCCATCTGAAGGCTTTTTCTTTAGGAAAACTGCACTCTTCTTTACTGCAGATGCTGAAACAGGTTTTCTTCTGCTTGAAGCAGACACCTTGCCCTGCTCACACTCAATGCTTTTTCCTTCTAAAGCTTTATTTCTCCCTGCCTAGGTTTGTGGAAGCTCCCACTAAGTCTCCTTGCACCTATTATATTTATGTTTTCTGATCAAGTTTAAATTCTCTGGTTTCGGCATTCTCTCCACATGGCTGTCAGGTTGGTAATCCTCCTTCAGTGCAGAAGGAGATGGACCTATAGCACTCCCTCCTTCAGCTCTGGAGCTGCTGAAGGCACTTCCCATAGGCATCCTCCACAGCTCCACGTCATCCCATCTGGGGAGCAGAGCTTCTTGTAGAGTAGGAGGTGAACAAGCCTAGCCTGAGCAAGCCAGTGACTGGGAGCTAGCTGCTTTCTGGAAACACTTCTAAAGATAAGTATCAGTAAGATCTATTTAAGCTAAAAGTTAGAATTGGCATCAATTTCATAGTGGTAAGGGAGGCACAAACCACATCATACTGGAAACAAACACATACACGACAAAAAGCTGGTTTAGGAGTCAAACTACTTTTAAGAGAAGTGTCAATAAACATGAGATTAATATTATGTAACATAATGCATATTGCTCAAATCTGGAGTATCTCCTGACACAGCTGATATCATTTCAAACATGAAAAATATGTAAACAGTAAACTACTTTAAAAATAGGAGGGGGCAAATTCATTTCCACAATAATTATTCATCATTATATTGACATAATTACATGCATTATTCTAAATATATGTGAATTTATTGGCACAGTGATGTTGTCAATATTTTTTTCTTGTGAAAGGGTCTATGAACCAGTTGAAATCTGAGTATTTTAGTGCAATTGCATACATTGCACGTGTTCGCTCACAAGATCATGTCCTTCACATTTTTACAAACTTAGTCAAGACTGTTGTGTTCACTCATCCTAAATTTATTAGACCTTAATCCATGCTTGATGATGCAGTGATAAAGCCAAAAGGGACATAGCAGACATAATAAGAGATGTGCCTCATGGCAGGGAGCAGTTTATTCTAATGATTATTTATAAACCCCTTTAGTTCCCCAAGACATGCTTTAGCAGTTGATTGTGGTTTTCTTCAGCATTTTAGAATGTTCTTAATAGTATGGCAGATTTTTCTAGCTGTCAGAATTGTGCTTCTGATTAATTTTGCATCACTTGTGATACTAAGAGGAGATACTTGCCCCCAGTCACAGCCTGTATAGCCAAAGAAAGGGAACTTTTCTGTTGAGCACCTATCCCTAGAACAAGCAAGCAGTAGAGTGGCTTTCTAAGTTAAAACCCCCTTTGATTTCTCCAGATAATTTTTTTCCTAAGTTAAGGCTGCAGGGCTTGGCTTGAGTTTGCAAGTGCCAAGGAGCTGAACTGAGTTTTACTACTCCATTACTCATGTGTCTCTATTTTTCCCCAAACTCTTTATATAGCTGCCACAGCTCCTCTGCACCTTGCAAGAGATGGATGAGCCAAGAAACACCTTTTTAGCTATATCTGTAGCACTTGCCAAGTGCCAAGTCATCTATTTTACCTAGGATATAAGCAGTAGCTCTGTGTGCTAGACTGCAGGCAAACTGTCCTGTAAATAAATCCTGGTCTTTCCAAGTTGACCCTCTGCACACATTTAAACACTCCATCCTTCAGAACTCGAGGCTGCTCTGGGATGCACAACAGCTACTGAAGGAGTCTGCAGCCACAGAGAGCCCTGCAGTAAGCTACTGAGGACATCAGCAGAGATAGCTTCCCAAAAGAGTTTCTTACCAAAGCCAAAGTCACTTCAGCCTGTGACCTGCTGCTCTCTCCTCCTGCCCAGATTTGACTCTGGGATTACAGAATTTGAAGTTTCCCTTAGTGTCCTTCTCAGCCGATATCCACAATGGACATGGGGTTCACAGTAAAGAGAGCAAGGGAAATAAACAGTGTGATAAGCCAAGGCTTGCTGTTACCTGTACATTGCATTCCCCACTACAAGTGTTTGGCAGAGGTGTTTGTTTCTTAGGAACCACTAAAGTTATTTGCAAGCTGCTTCTACCACAAAATGACTTATTGTTCCTATTCATAGGCAGGGCTAATGTATCTTTCTGCCAAAGCAACTTTCAAGGGAGACAGAGTTTTAGACAACAACTGCAAAAAATACCTTCTTTACAGAAAGACAAAACTAACTGACTGCAGCCTCCCTAATTCTAGCGCAGAATTGTAGATTTTAGGCAGAAGCCTGAAAAAATCTGTGGGTGAAGAGAGAGAAATCACTGCATCCTTTCAGGATTACTTTTTGCTCTTGCAGCACCTACTTCTCCAGTGGGCTGGATCCTGCAGGATGACAGCAGTAGCTGTGGATTCTGTCCATCCAACCGGGTGACATAAACTGTGTCATGCTAACAAGTGATCCCACACAAGTGCTGTAACCACTACACACACAAAGACACTTCAACTTGAAAAATCCTAGAAAAGCAATGAGGCATTTGATAGCATTGTTTCATTGGTGGCCATGCAGTGTTGGGGGATTAAGCCCACTCCCTCTCCTGCAGCTTCTCCTGTATCCCCTCTTTTCATTTCAGCACAGGCAGAGAAGTTCCTCTCTCAGCTGAGGGTGGTCTCCTCAACCCACAGCCTGCACAGAACACCTCAGCACACCCAAGCTGTGAATGCCTGTCCTCCCCATGACTTTCTGCAGCTTGCAGTACCATGCCCTGGCTTATCCTAGGTACAAAGAAAAGAAATTACTTAGAGTGCGCTTTAGTTTTCTTAGTCTATAGCTTCTGGTTTTGGTAGGCTTTTCTGCTTGCAGCTGAGCTGACTTTCACAGCAAATAGCATAGATTAAGTTCTGTGCTCTGAGCAGGGATTTCTCATTTCATACATCATTTATGACTTTCTGCAGTGATTCCAAAAAGTCAGTATTTCTCCATAATACAAAGATGAGAAGGATGGAAAACATAGCTGAAAAAGTAACAAACCTGTAAATTGCATTTATGTAGAATTCTGTTGCCACAAAGTTTCTACAGCAAATTTATGGAAACCTAGCAAATTCAGTATAACTAAATTTGCCGTTCAGGAAAGTTATACATTTATGGATTTCAGCACAGTGCCATATTACACCTTAGCAGAGATGCTAAATATCTCTCAGACAAAATGGAAATTAAATCTGCTGTTCTATTTTGTCAGATCAGGTCTTTGCCTATGTTACCTTGGGCATCGATTTCACTGCTCCCTCCTTAAAGAAGTGAAAAATCACACAAACAAAACCCACTTTTGCAAAGGTTGCAAACACTAATTACATCAGGTTGCCCTATAACTGG